CCCCCCGTCCCGCCCCCGCCCCCACCAGGAGAGTGAGTCACCTGGGTCCAGCAGGCGGGGTCTGTGGGGGCGGAGGGAGGCTGGGGCGGCTAATGCTGAAGGGAGCGAACTGTCACCGAGAAAGCGGAAGACCCGGCCAACTGCAGACACATACCTCTCGCCCCCTCACACTCACAGCAAACCTGACAGACCTGCGTGTTACAATGCACACACCCCAGCCCCGAGAGCGAAGGCACACGTGACGAGCACAGACACCCGAAACGGACCCCACGCACACAAGCCTGTGGGACTCACGCCTCTCCTTTTTCCGAATCTTTCCCCATGTAACACCCATAGAATCAAACACAACGGCACGCTCTAATAACGACCAAACGGGCCTTTCAGGCTCACAAAATACAGTGTGATCCTGTGAGGTGGGCATGGCCCAGCTGAGGACACGGAGACCAAGAGACAAAGCGAGGTCACTCGACTCGAAGTCACTCAGCTGGGGACCAGGCTGGGACAGAAAACCCAAGTATCCTGGCGTCTGGAGAAAGACAGGCTTCATCCTCTACACCTGCAACCATCCTGTCGAGGCACGAGCGACATACATCTCGAGGCCCAAAACGGATCCAGTCGCAGACACTAACCCAGCCAAGCCACGCAGAGACCCTCACAGCCGCCTGACTCCGCCCCCGCCACACGGGCCACACCCACACAGGCTCGGGCTTCCGCCCTGCCACACGGGCCACGCCCAAACAGTGGGTCCTGCCCAGTTTCGCAGACCGGTGACGCCCACAGCACCCGGGCCCCGCCCCCATATGACCACGCCCACACATACCCGCTTCATCCTCGCACACTAGCTCCGCCCCTCACACCTGGGTCCACCCAGCGCCCACCCCCACCCCGCCGCTCTGGTCACGCGCACTCTCTCGCGGGCCCGCTTCCCGTCACCCTGGTCACCCCCCACACGTTCGGGCCCCGCCCCCGGAAGCACAGGAGAGGCACTTGCTTTCACTGACTGAGGGCAGGGCTTGGGGCCCGCAGCACGGCAGCAGCTTGAGGAACCGCTGCTTCAGCGCTTTTTTAGCGGGCCCTGGAGGGTGGCCTGGGAAGAGAGAAGACCCCAGGAAGTCACATTAACTCCCATTGTCCCTCCGTTCCCTGTCCCCTCCCCGCCAGTCACAAATCAATCCCTGCTGGGGGAGGAGAGTGGGAGTTGGGAGAGGAATGAGGCGGGGAAGGAATGGAGAGGGTAGCTGGAGCTGGGTTAGGGGTGCCCAGTGGGTCTCACGGTCAGGTCAAGTCCATAGAGGCGTGGCTCGGACACCTTGTATAATGGGAGGCGGCTGGCCACAGCGAGGCGGCAAGGGGGGAGGTGGCAGTGCCCTCAATGTCTCATTGTCTTTCCTGACCCAGTGCCCTTGGCTCAAGTGCCATAGCTGGCCTCTCAGGGTGGACCTCTTGGCCCAACCCAAGGACCAAGGATTGCCTGGATCCTACCTCTCTCTCACACACATGCAATGACATGTAGTGACATGTAGAATGATAAATGACAGTGATGGATGCCAGTGACAGCTTGATACCCAGTAATTCACACCTGATGGCCTAATAAACATGCTCCAAATCGCGCGCACACACACATTTTGACTTAGTACTCCTTAACACAAACATACAAGTGTAGCTAAGTAAAACATGACACACACATACAGAGACCTTATAGGCCATCTCACACACAGCGTGATCAAACCAAACAAGAACACACGATGACCCTGGGACATCATGACGTGTGTGTATTAAGAACTCTATGGGCTGGCCCGTGGCTCACTCAGGAGAGTGTGGTGCTGATAACACCAAGGCCCCGGGTTCGGATCCCATATAGGGATGGCCGGTTAGCTCACTGGGTGAGCATGGTGCTGACAACACCAAGTCAAGGGTTAAGATCCCCTTACCAGTCATTTTTTAAAAAAAACAAAAAACAAAAAAAACTCTATGACACATTGTGACCTTCTAACATTATGAAATAATGTCAAGGTTACCATGACACATACCCTCATATTGTGACCTAAATCCTCATGACACCCAGATCTCTAAGGCTGCCCTTCACCCACAGAGGCTTCATTTGTCCTGGGTACCTCCACTTCTCTTTCCTGTAACCCCTCATTCCAAGGCACCCAGAATCTTCCTGCTGAGGAGTGGGATTTCTCATCACCTAACTCATCTACCCTAAAAGTGTGGTCCTTTCCCAGTCCTTTCCAGTATGGCTTGCTCTTTGAAGGCGAAATTACAGCAAACTTTGAGGCAATAACAGATCTTGGAGATGAATATTTTGGTGTACCGTGGGGCTACCCAGGGCCCATTGATCGTGGCTCCCCTTCTCTCGCCTGATTTCTGCACATGTCCTAAAATTCCACTTGCACCCCTGGAGCAACTTCAGCATTCCTGTGTGTAGGTATGTGTCTGAGTGTCTCCCAGCTGCACCCACCTCCAGATTCCCGGGCCAGAGCTTTCTGGACACAACACACTGGCTAAAGTTAGCCTCAGTCCGTTCCTGGAGAGACCCAATTTCCTTTAGTTATAGGTTACTCCCCCACCCCAGCCCCGCCACACACCCAGCCCTCTCAAGCCAGGCTCCATCCTCAGGGCCAAGCACTGTTCCCAGGAGGTAACTGCATGATTTAACCGCCTCCTCCCCTCCAATGCATCCTCACTTCCCTTCCACCCCACCCAGGAGCTACAGAGAGGTGGGAGGGTGGCAGTAGGCCAAGGGGGATCGATGGTGGCCTGGCCCCCAGCCCAGGGCTCCATTAGCCTGGCCTTTGGTTTCCCAAAGCCGGATTGTTCCTGGGGCCTCCAATAGTGTAGTCACCAGATTGGGAGGTGGCTCTCCTGCTTCCCCCACCTCCTACCTCCCGCCAGGCCCTGCCTGCTCCCAAGCCTCTGTCTCCTCTGGGCTCCTCTGAAGGTGGGAAGAGAGAGGGGTTGCCCTCAGCCTAAAAGATGCCTGAGTTTCCCACCAAATAGTCTAGGGGGATGGCAAGTAAGAGCCCAATTGATTTCTTGACAGTAGTGTTACAACACCGTGCTCTAACCAACTGAGCTAACCGGCCAGCCCCAATTGATTTCTTCTCTGGACTGGATGAGAACAAGGTCAGCCTAGCCTCTCCAGTTTATCTGGTTCCAACTCCCTGTCCCTCTCCCCTCCTCCCAACAATAAATGCAGCAGAAGATGGAGGGTGGGCTAGGAGTTTCCTGCTCTTACTTAACCCTAGAGCAGTCAATTTATGGACCTTTCTCCTGTCCCCAGCTTCCTCTACATTTTTCCAGTTCTCCCGGGTGTCTACCTTGCAGCCCCTGTCATATTTATTTCCTGTCTTCCTGTCCCTGGTGGAACTGGGGAACAGTCATGCTATGGAGCTGTACAGTTCTTGATGTAAAGAGGAGGGGAGGCCAAAACTCTCGGCCAAAACTTCTAGGCAGAAGTGCTCCCTGCTCCACCTCCAATGTCACTCCTTCTACTGACTTTGGAATGGGGTGGGGAATTGATTACCCACCCCCAGTGTCTAGGCCCCAGAGACCATTCTGCTCTTGGATCCTGAGAGGAGTTTGGAGAGGCAAGGGGGCTTGGGAAGCAGTGTCCCTGATTTGATCCACTCATCACCCCCCAGCCTTGCCCCCTGCCTGCTCCTGAGCCTCTGTCTCCTCTGAAGGTGGGAAGAGAAAGGGATCCCCAATTCCCTCCTCCCCTCCCACAGATCTTTATAGATGTAGTATTCACAATGTTCCCACTCCTGTCTCTCCGGAACCCACTCCCATCCCAAGCCTTGGGTATGGAGCTGGTCTATCCTCAGGGAACTCTGGGAACAGCCACGCATAAAACCCCATACCCAATGAGGCTCAGCCACACACAGTCCTGCTCAGGCATGGTCACATCCACCATCTCACAAAGCCACACACCCTGTCACTCTCACACATGCAATCACATCACTGTCACATACACAGGCTCACACAGTTACATGCTTTGTCCTGTCTCACATGCATGAACGCACAGTCGCACCCCGTATGTCTCACACACACACCCTGTAACCTGCACCTGCATGGATGGAGGTTTGGAGAGTCACACACATCTTCAGAGCTTTGGTGGGCCCCTAGCTTCAAATGGGACTCCCCAGATATCTGGTGTTTTCTCAGGATCCCTGGAACCTCCTCCTCCTCCACTCTAGACACCCTGCCTGTCTCCAGACCCTTCCTGGCATCCCTCAGATTCTCCTCACCTCCTCATCTCCACACCCCAGTCCTCCCATGCTGTACCCTTACCACCTCCCTGGACACCCTGTCCCCAATTCCCTCCTCCCCTCCCCCAGATCTACTCCTCGAGTCCCCCTCTTTATCTCTCCCAGGTGTCGTGTCCCCCAAGCACCCCTCCTTCTCTCCCCAGATGGCTATCCCATCACTCACCTGCTCACCCCTGTCCCCAGTCAAGAAGATGGAGTAAACCCCCCCCCCATGCTGAGGGCTGCTCCAGCCAGCTGCTCGGACATGCCCAGACACCTGGGTTACCTTCCAAGGAGACAGGCTCAAAGAGGCCAAACTGCTCCAGGACCTTGACAAATAGAGCGAGGACCACAAGGACAGCAACCATCTCCAGCCCTTCCAGGTTCATGGTGGGCCTGGGGCATGGCCCCCACCCAGCGGAGGCTCAGATGGCCTGCCGCCGCCTCACACCGCCTCCCCCTCGGCTCCCCAGGCCGAGCGGGACCGCCTGCAGCCTTCCTCCCCTTCTTCGTCCCTGGATCTCCTCCCTCTCCCCCTTCACCCCGCCTCTGTCCCACAAGCCTCCCAGCCACAGACCTCTCAGCCACACAGCCGCCGCCTCTTCCTCTTCATAGGGCCTCCTCAGCCTTTGGACTGGCACCTCCTTGGGGACTTTTGGCATGAAGGATATGGGCCAGGCCAGGATAGGTTATGGGCCAAAGGAGGGAGGCTGTGACCTGCCTCTGTCCCTGAGGAGAGCTTTCCCCAGACACCCTGTGGCTACTCTGTGCCAAAGGGAGGGGGCAGAGGGAGGAGCAGTGCCTAGGGAGGAGGCAGGGACGGGCAGGATGTATGGGTGTGAGGAACGATCCGCACGTGTATGAGGAATACATGTATGGGTCACAGTATGTAATGGGTGTCTGAGTGTTTCCCTGTGTGTCCACTCCTGTGTTTGTCAGTATGGCAGTACGTATGTCTCCTCTTACATGTGTCCCTGTGTGTGTTTACATGTGATTATGCACCTGTCACGAAAGTGTGTGTTTTGTGTATGGTTATGCATTTCAGTATATGGGTATGCGACCTGGGGGTCTATGGCAGGCATGTATGAGAGTGTGTCAGAGTATTTTAGAGTGTGTGTGTGTGGTGAGGTGTCTTTGTTTTAATAGTGTTGTGGGATGTGGGTCTGAAGTTTGGTAGGCATGGATGTGTCATATAATTTGGAGTATGGGTCTACGGTTTGTAATTGTATCGGCATGGAATTGCAGGTGAAAATAAGAGCAGGGGGAAGGCAGTGACCTTTTCCATCAGGAGGACACCACCAACATTGATCTGGTTGCCGTGGAGACTGTGAGGTGCGAAGCACTCTCTTCCCACAGGCCATGGACAGTGAAACTGAGGCCCAAGGGAGAGAGGATTGCATCCAATAGCTTGGGCAGGAAAAAGGCCGCTTAGCCCCATCATGGCGCTCTGGGGAGGAGACTTATTGCAGGTGCGAAGCACTCTCTTCCCACAGGCCATGGACAGTGAAACTGAGGCCCAAGGGAGAGAGCATTGCATCCAATAGCTTGGGCAGGAAAAAGGCCGCTTAGCCCCATCATGGCGCTCTGGGGAGGAGACTTATTGTGACTGCATTCGAGACCAAGAGACCCAAGCTCCTTGGGAGAGGAGGGGGACTGTGCTCTTCCCCTCCTCTGGCTAGGACCTTATCCAGGAGATGCCAAAGCCTTGCCTGTTCCTGGGGAACTGTTATTGAGCTGATGGAGAATCCCAGGGTAGAAGAGAAATCTGAACCCTCTCTGGGAGCCCCCCCTCCATCGAACTTTCCTTGTCCCTCCCTCCTCTTCCCTGCTCCTT